CGGCGAGTATATAACAAACTCTGTATTTTGAGTGGAAATGTTAGGGGGTCATCTTATACGCCCAGTCGTCTTATACGCCGGCAAATACGGTAGATTTCCACAGAGAATGTCGCTTTGCACTTACCTGTGCCACGTGCACTAGTGCTGCTCCACTCTTCTTTCTTGGAGACTTCCTTGACTGTATGTGCTTATTTCTACTTTCTTTGTCAGCTGGATTAATAATGCTGAATTAATCATAAAATACATGTGAGTTTTTATTTAAAGGAATTATTTAGTAATATTAAAATTCCTTTTGTTATGGTGCTCCTAATTTGTTAGCTTTGCATGCTTGTTTTTAATCTTTTTCTGATATCAGTATATCCTCAGATTTTGATCAGAACTTGCCCACCCATTTCAGAAACTAAGTACTATTTAATTGGACTGTAAAGTAATACTTTGTTTCTCTAATGTTAATCATTTGCTGATATATTTAGATGGAGTCTGGTGAATGATTCACCTCTTCGAACAGAACTTGGTTCCACACAGTTAGATACCCTGGCATGTTGAGGCTTTGATCATGCTCACCTGAATGAAGCCTTGAATTTGACAGGATCCATGACTTAGCATTCTCTAGTGGATGATTCTCTGAAATGTGTATAACCAGTTACCAAATTTATCAGTGAGTTTAACATTTGTTTGCCATGTGCCCAGCCAGATCTTCTTGACTATGTGGAAAGAAACTCCTATTAGCTGAGGCTGATTCTCTTGTGGCCAATTCACAAAACATTTTTCTATTGGGTAGCTTCTTGACTCTTTTCCCTTCTTTTCTTCCAGGTAAAGGGCCCAGGCATTGGGCTTCTGGGCATTTCTTTAGGGGCTGATATTTGTCTTTCCATGGCCTCATTTTTGAAGAACATTTCAGCCACAGTTTCCATCAATGGATCTGGGTTCAGTGGAAACAAAGCCATACATTACAAGGAGACTTGCATCCCACCATTGGGCTGTGACCTGAGGAGAATCAAGGTAGCTTTCTCAGGCCTCCTGGACATTGTGGATATACGGAATGATATTGTAGGAGGGTATGAGAACCCCAGCATGATTCCATTAGAGAAGGCCCAGGGGCCTATCCTCTTCATTGTTGGTCAGGATGACCATAACTGGAGGAGTGAGTTATATGCCCAAATAGCCTCTGAACGATTACAGGCCCATGGAAAGGAAAAACCCCAGATCATCTCTTACCCTGGCACTGGGCATTACATCGAGCCTCCTTACTTTCCTTGGTGTCCAGCTTCTCTGCATAAAACACTGGAAAAGCCTGTGATCTGGGGTGGGGAGCCCAAGGCTCATTCTAAGGCCCAGGTTGATGCTTGGAAGCAAATTCTAACCTTCTTCTGCACACATCTTGGAGATACCTGGAAGGGAGCTTCCCCCAAATTGTAATGCATTGATCTATTATTGACACAAGAGATACAAGGTCAGATTTTAGTGCTTAATAATCTTATGTAAATCAATTTCCCCCTGAATAATACAAAATTCATGTGACTGGTATTAATGATGTACAATATTTTAGGTAACTTTTTTGAATAAGTTATTTTTTCACTAATTTTACTAATGTAACACATACTTATTGTAGAAGATTAATTGGAGGTATACAACACAAAAAAAGTAAAAAACATCCTGTTAAAATTTGTTTTCTTCTAGTTTTTTGTTTTTTGTTTTTTAACCTAACACTTTGAGCCATAAGATGAAATTTAAAGCAGAACAAGTACTGGGTTACTTTTACCATCACTGGGAAAGAATGGCCATCCACTGTTTGCTACTGGTTTAACTACAGGCGGCAGGGTAGAATTTTCAATGGCCAAAAGTATACAGAGAAGTGTTNCTTCCCCCAATTCCCCAGTGCTGTTCCCATCCCCCAATTCCCCAATAAAAATCTTAAGGAAAAAAAAAAATAGTACAGGACTCCCTACGCCCTTCCTCCAGCTTCCCTTAAAATTAATGCCTTACATAACCATAGTACAATTATCAAAATCAGGAAGTTAACATTGATACAATACTATTAACCATGACAGTATTATTGAAATTAAGTTATTGCTATCTTGGAGAAAGGATTTATTCAAATGGATAATATACTGTCAGCTAAAATCAGAACTGTGGAGCTCTCTTATCCCACCAAAACTGTAAATATGAAATAGTACCAGGCCCAGGATCATGAGTGAAATCACAGCTGATACTGGAATGAGTGCGAGTCTGTCTCCACCTCCATCCAGCCTTTTCCCTTTAACTCTCAGGTGGGTTACTGGAGAAGTATATGGATCTCTCCAAAGTTGAGGATTACAGAAAACTAAAGGAACTCATGTTAACGGGCTGACACTAAAGAGAAACAGGGAGATCTTTCTAAATCACCCAACTAGTATCCTTTAATTGATCTTACTAGGGCTTTGTTTTCAATCCTTTAATTGATCTTACTAGGGCTTTGTTTTCACTCCCAGTACATTTTAGACATCAGTAACAGTTTGCTCTCACTTGGCAGCCAGTAGTTTACCTTTACAGTCTTGCCTCCAAGATATTTCAATTCTCTAACATTTGTCAGAATCTGTTAAGGTGGGATTTAAACAGGTATCCTAATGCTAATTCAGATAGTGAAATTATTCATTACATTCATTCTCTTGAGGATGAATATTCATTCATTATATTGATGACATACTGATCAGAGGCGACTCAGAAGCAATTGTTTCTGAAGCTCGGCCTTTCCATATTGAATTTATAACCGAAAGGCAGTGGGCTGTTATGCATGGAGAAGTTCAGGGGCCCTCTCAAAGACAAAGCATTCTGGGAGTGTAATTATCCGGAGCAACCAGAGAAATAGGAAATAATGAGAGCAAAACAAAAATATTTTTGATTAAAACTAAGAGAGTTTGTTTTCAACAGATTCTCACTAAAGGAAACTCTATAGCTCTTTAAAATGTGATCCTTGGACCTGCAGCAGCAGCAGCAGCTGGGAGCTTGTGAGAAATGCAGAATTTCAGGTCCCACCCCAGACCTAGTGATTTGGAATCTGCTTTTTAACAAGATTCTAAATGACCTATGTACATTAGAGTTTGAAAAGCACTGCTTTAAAGTGATTCCATTCCAAATGGAAAGTCTGAGGTTCAAGAAGAAAGGAAGAATCCCTACTAGATATAGTAAATATATAAGTAAATCTAAACAATCATTAACTATATATTTTTAAAAGTAATATCTGGTGGGGTTAAACAAGACACGACAGACATAAAATATATGAAAACAAAAGCATATGAATCAGGAGGGCAGGCGATTGGATTTAAAGTGTTCTCAGGGTCTGGTATTATTTAGAAACAAGGTAAAGATATTAGCTAACTTGAGACTTTAATAAAGCATGTAAATTAAGCATGTACGTTTAAATTTATAGGTTAGCCAATGAAAGAACAGAAATGATGTTTATAACTTCTACACTGACGGGTAGGTGGGGACTGAATGCGAAGATGACAACAATGAAGGTTTCCTTCTTCATCAGTCATTAGGAGAACATGGAACATCAAGGCTTGTGCCATGCTGTACACACATGACATACCATACCCTGACAGGAAATAGATCAGTGCCCGAGATATCCTTTTTTTGTCTTCTAGTGGCATCCTGAGAATTTGTGTGCTTACTACTTTGTGTTTAGACATATCTCTCTTTGTTCACCTCTCCTAAAATGAGGGTAGGAGGTGATCTTGAATTTCTGCTTGGACCTTTGAAATACTTCAACTGTTAAGGAAAATGACGGAGAGCGGAGAAGCCAATGGAAATACAAACATTTAATTGTTCCAATTACTGCTTAAGGTGTCACCTTGAGTTGTGTAAAAGAAAAAAGAAAAAAACAAAACAAACAAACAAAAAAAATGGGGGATGGGGGGAGATGGAGCAGGTTAAAGCACAGCTTTGCTGAAAAAAATCCATCTGAGAAATGTCAGATTCTTAGAGTTCAATACCTTTCATTCACTGATTTATAAAAAAGAAACAATTTCAGTTACTCTTGAGGCCGGGCAGGGAAAAGAAGTTTTTCCTAAAATATTCTGGGAGGTTCACTGGCAATATAAGATTGACCTCAAAATTCTGTTGGACTGTTGTTTAAAACTGTGAGGCTTACACCCTTCAAGGTCTAATGATATGTGTTGAAATAGGTTGGTCTAATTTTATAGTTTCCCTTTCCTTTTCTCACTTTGTATTTGATGATCAGTAAAAACATTTTAATGTGGTATACTTTGAAAAGGTACTCCAAAAAATCCAAGAGAGATATCAACTTTGCCCATTACATGGGACAGGATGATTAAAATTCTCACATCGCCAGTGGTCAAAATGGTGTCAGAACTTGCCACCAGAGACTAACAAAATGCCAAAGGCCTTAACAGAAAATGATATTGACTATGAAAACAAAGATGGGATCCCAGTGAGCACTGTCAGACACTATTGTGTTTCCTGGCTACGGCTTTAAAAGAGTAACTTCTGCATGACTTTATCACCAAATATGCCTCATCTAAATATAAGGAGAGATGCAAATATTACCAAGGCAAATTCACAGACTTATAAATCAGCTTTGAAAGAGGAGGACCTGGAATAACGGAAGACTGTGATATTGTGAGAAGAAGATCTGTTTGGGGAGAAGATTTAGAGTTTAAAACTAGAGATTGGAAGATGAGGGGATGAGGGCATTGTGTCTCATGACGCTTTCTCCTGGGCTTTCCAGAAAGAAACCAGAGCAGCCAGGGAGCATTCAACTGGCCTCTCCCCAGACCAGATTCTCTGACTTCTCTTCTCCTCGTGATGTTGAAGGGTAAATTTATGTAGTCCTTCTCCTTGGTTCACCTCAAACTCACCCAGTAGAGGTAAAAGAGGAAGGCTGCCAAGGACCAATTAATAGATACAATATTGAGAAGAGGCCTAAGACTCACTAGGAAATTGAGCTCTCACTATAATATACAACCAAACTTCTGGAAAATCTGTTAGATTGGCTATTAGGATCACAGGATAAAGGCTAAAGGGATATTCAAATTGACGAGGTTGAATTGGGGAAAAGGGTCTCACAGTGGGGACTCTCCTATGAATATGACATTCCAAGAGTTAGATGCTCTGTTTCTGTGTTTGATGAGATTATGGAGATTACCATGACCCTAATTATGGGATGTTGGAGAACGGCAATCATATAATAAAAGGAATCAGAAATGATTTTTTAAAAAGAGGCCATTTTAATTAGCCTGAGGCAGGCTGTCCCAGTTATCCAAATGATCTATTTTTAACTGAAATGCAAAGAAATTGGCATTCCCATCTCCCCAAAGATTTACATCCTGCTCTTCCAAAGAGAGGCAGAGTTATTTGCAGGCTACAGATGGTGTTGGTAGTGAATAGTCAGAGAACTGGCAAATAAGAATGTATTTTTGTGANAAAAATAAATAAATAAATAAATAAAATCTTTAGAGGGCCTTTTGTCAGTCTGAAAGTTCTATGAAGCACTATCTTGAATCTTTCTGAGGTCTTTACAAAGGCTCTCCCACAGACATACCCTGGATTTGACTTTGATCTAATGTCCTTTCTTAAAGAATAATTTGCCATCTGGATGGTTGGGAATGAGAAACAGTATTATTGAAACTTATCAGTTTGACAGTATGAGCCTCATTCCTTCATATTTAACAGTTCATTCTTTAGTTCACATCTTCCTTTTGCATTTTATCATAGGCAGCAAAAAGTAGCCAGGTGGCACTTTCATTACCTTGCTAGGAAATCACCTCAGCTAGATTATTGAATTCATTAGGTATATTTTCCATTTTTCACATTACTGCAGGTGTCAGTATTTCCTCCAGCTTCCAGTAAATTTTTCTTGCTTTCCTTTAAGCCCTCAATAAGTGCCTTCGTGGGGCCTGTTAGGCCTTTACTAACCGTCTCCTTGAAGCCCTTCCCGTTTCCACCTGCTCCCCAGTCCTAACATCAGCTGTGATTCCTGTGTACATGGATTTCTCCACAGGCTGCTTATGCCTTCTCACAGCATGGTATCTGGGTTTCAAGAATGAATGTCATAAGAGAGGAAGGCAGAAATAGATGGCATTTATTATAATTTAGCTTTGGAAGTCACATAGCATCACTTCAACTGTACTGAGGCAGACACCAAGACCTCAGGTGCAAGGAAAGTTTTTTGGCTCTATCTACTAGGGAAAGGGCAAGGTCCTGGAACATCATGTGAGGTGGGAATTATTTGTGGCAGTCATCTTTGGAAAACACAATCTGTCCACAGAATTGTTTGTCATGTAGCAACAGGCAATGGAACACTGCTGAAAAGAAAGACAAAGATTAAAAGTCTTACCGGAAGCCACAGAAAAAAGACAACCTTCACATAAGGAACAATAAATCTAACAACTGACTTCTCTCAACAGCGATAATGGAAACCAGAAACCATGGGAATGAAATCTGCAAAGTGTTGAGTGAAAACATGACAACCTAGAAGCCTATGCTAGCAAAACAGATCCTTAAATATGAAAATATTTATTCTTCATAAGTTTATTGAGTCAAGTAAGTTTAATAAATCATTTTCAGAAAAATAAAAATTGAGATGTTCTAATTAATTGATTAATAAAGCATAACTGTAGTAAACCCTCAATGGACTCACCTGTATCTTGCTATACCATGTGTTTCCCGAACTGCAATTCCTCTGCCATTCCTGAATAAACTCAATATCTGGTAATTTGAGCTTGCCTCAGTTTACCTCTTTATTTAGGTTGAGAGTATAAAAAAATTTTAATATAGCTATAGGTAATATACAGCATTAGCACAGG